GCAGGCGGTGCTCCTGCCGTGGGGCTGAGCTCAGCTGCCCTGTTGGATATGACTTCAATAAAGTTTTCTATTTTTGACCGGTTGTGCCTTATTTTCCCTACTGCCCCTGAAGACGCTCTTGCTCCCAGCAATTTCCCAGGCATATTTTCCACATTCTCGGCCACCCGGAGCACCCAGGCCCCACAGCGCCCAGAGGTGATGCTCACATGGGCCAGCCATCTCCACAAGCCCTCCGCCATGCCCCAGTGTGGTCAGTCCAGAGGCCTCATGGTACTGACCCCCCTCCCCAGATTGACGTCTCCCATTACCAGTCCCTGCCTGGCCCTCTAAGGAGCCAGCTACCCCCCCCCCATGGTTCACAACACATGCACATACATACACACACACACACGTGTACATGTGTGGACATGGAGGTAATCCAAGCCATGGACCAGCCAACTGAGCTATCTTCCACCCCAGCATCCCCCTGCATAGCTTCTCCTGGTTCATCCCCATGTCCTTCTGAGACCCACTTGTTTCCCAAAGCCATGGAGGAGCAGATCCCTGCTGTGTGGTGCCTGGTTAGCATGACCCAAATCCTGCCAGTGAGGGCTGGAAGATGCCTGCCTCTCTCCTGCCGCAGTGCTGGAATGAGGATGCACGCGGTTGCAGATGGAGCTTTGGTGGGTCAGACATTTTTTTTAAGCACCCAAAACAAGGTGCTCCCCCCACCACGGGATGCGATGGGCACCCTTGCAGTGAAGGAGAGGTCCTCCCAGGCAGGCTTGCTGGCAGCAGTGGGGCTGCGGGAGGGTGATGGAGCCAGGCGGCCATGCTCCCCATAATGATGGCTCTGTCCTCCCCGTGGGCAGGTTGGGGGCCACGCTGCTGCCGTGGGGCTTGTTCAGGTTCTTGTCTCCAGCGGGCTGGAGAAAGAATGGATCCTGGTAGGCAGGAGCAGCGCAGAATCCCTTCCCCAGGCTCTGGATGGGACCGTCCTACACCGCCCTCCCTCCAGCCAAGCATCACATCTCAGAGCCCCCCTCCCCAGCCACCCCTTCCTCTTTCTCATGTTTTTTCTTTCAAACTGGGGCAGACAGCCCTGTGCCCATCACACCAGCTTCACCTCTTCCCCAGGGGCTCCAACCGGCCACACCAAGCTGCTGGAGAAGAGGAGCTCTGGCGCTGGGAGAGATTAGATCATCTGGGGAAACCAGTGGTTCTGGCTTCGGTGGTTTCAGCCCTGTGCCAGCCTTGGCTCTCACAGCCTCCTAGTTTGTTTTGCTAACAGCATAAGGTTTTATCTTGAACCGTCCAGGAAGTGTCTGGGCCTCCTAGGCAGGCAGGGCTGGGACCTGCGGGGAGATGCGGTGGCTGCAGAGCAGGAAAGGAGACACCAGCAACCACCTAAATAACTAGTCCCTGCGGGGCTGGGCAGGGCAGTCTGGGGGCTTGGCTCAGCGTTGCTATCTGCTTCCCCTTTGGGAACTTTCTGAGAGAAGTTTCCCTTTTTTCCTTGTCCTTGGCAGCTCTTTGATGAACCTGGGGTGAGAACGCAACCTCTCAGGCACTGACGTGGGGAGCGTCTCTTTCTTCTGCCCGTCTCCCAGGCTCCATCCTTTGGGGCTTTTTTTTGTACCGGGGTGGGCCATGCTACATTCTTTCCCAGCTGCACAAACCCAAGATTGCCCAGGGTCCTTACAGCCCCCCACTATCTGAGAAGCTGGCTGGAGCGGTGTTAACTTTGTTGTGCAACTGTGAGCTCAGCAGAGGTGCCTGCACCTGCCTGCAGGCTCTGGAGCACGGTGCAATATTAATTACTCTCTGCAGGGGGGGGAATAAGAGGAATATTGTAACTGTAATGGACAGAAATGAAATCGTCTTGGTTTAGAATTTAGCTTAGAGTCTCCATAAATTACAGGTTTAGGTGTTGGCAGATGTCTGGGAAAGTCTCCTACTATCCTGGTCAGTGGATTTTCTCAAGGTCGTTCACGTGGAATGAGCTGATAAATGGATCCAGCAACGAGCTGCAGATGGAGCTGAGGGTTCATGGGGGACCTGCCCTGTTTTTCCCCAGTTTCAGAATTACACTGTGCTGGGAGCAGTTCCCGGGCACTGCAAATCAGTTCCTGCCCTAGGGATCAGTTGCGCTTGGTTCAGATTTGGCTCTGGCATGCAGTGAGGGAGCATGTCCTGGGGGCTGCAGTGCAGGGGCTGAGCCCTAGGTGTGCTGGGAAGAGTGGCTGGGCTCTGCAAAACAACTATGAATGAAGCACCTTGTGAGCATCAATGGGATGCTTGTGGGAGCTGGGGCAGCACAAGAGGGGGTGAGGAGTGTGTCGTGCACCATGCTGGCTTCTGGGGAGTCGGTGAGGATGCCGAGCAAGGCAGGAATGTGAAGTGGCTCCTGGCAGGTCTATGCTGGAGGACTTGGGTTTGTGGCAGGGAGGGGTGCCTGTGCCTGGGAGAGCACCGTGGGGCATTTGGGACCTCAGAATTAAGAGCTTCAGCCACGGGAGATGAGCAACCCCGTGGTACAGCCTGGCCTGTACAGCCAGAGACAGCGTGGGTGTGCGCAGGCTGTGCTGCAGGGGAGGTGACAGCGGGGTGTAGTCAGCCTGTGCTCCGTGTGTGGGAGGCGACAACGGGGTGCTCACAGCCTGTACCCCAGGGAGGGGTGGCACGGAGGTGTGCGCAGTCTCCGTACAGGCTGTGTGGCAGGGGTAGGTGATGCGGGGGGACACAGCCTGTGTCTCCTCCGGGAGGAGGTGGCACAGGGAGGGGTACAACCCCTGTCCCCGGAGGAGATGACAGCGGGGTGCGTGCAGCCTGTACTGCAGCAGGAGGAGGCACGGGGGGTTACACAGCCGGTACCATGGGGAGAAGTGGCAAGGGTTATGCACAAGCTGTACTGTGTGGAGCGGTGGCAGCGGTGTGTACACAGCCTGTACGCGGCAGGAGGTGACAGTGGGGTGTACATAGTGTGCAGCCTGGGGCAGGTGACGACTCCTCCGTAAGCAGCGTGTCTATGAGGCAGCAGTGGCGCTTACTGTCCCTATCCCATCAAGGAGAGCATCAAGTCTCCTGCCTGACAGTCTCTGGTCCCACCAGCGCTTGGGACCTCGTCCTTTGCTCCCTTGAAGGCTTGCCCAGCCTGCGCTACCTGCCTGGGGCTCCTCACATTGGGCTGGGCTGCCTAGGTGGCTTGCAGCTTTGGCCAGTTCCCCTCTCCCCACCCTGCTGAGCTAGATGCTGCTCATTCCTCCCTGCCCTCCTCTTCCTCTTGCTTTTCGGACCTCCGGGCTCTCCCCTGATTGATGCTCTTGGAGCCAGTGTTGGTCTGTGGTGAACACGGACTTCCCTAGCTTGGATCTGGAGGACTTCTCGTTCTTTCCCCCCACCCTCCCCTCTCCATCCCTCTCTCCTGATCCCCTGCTTGTGACCTCCCTTTCCCTGTCGCTTTCCCCTCCCCATCAGTCTCTCCTGACGGGCTGTCTGCTGGCCCTGGTACAGAGGGATGCTGAGCCCTCTGCAGCACAGGGCTGAGTCCCCGGCTGGCTCCGAGCTTGGATCTGGAGGACTTCTCGTTCTTTCCCCCCACCCTCCCCTCTCCATCCCTCTCTCCTGATCCCCTGCTTGTGACCTCCCTTTCCCTGTCGCTTTCCCCTCCCCATCAGTCTCTCCTGACGGGCTGTCTGCTGGCCCTGGTACAGAGGGATGCTGAGCCCTCTGCAGCACAGGGCTGAGTCCCCGGCTGGCTCCGACAG